GGCCCCGGGCAAGCCAGGGGAGGGAGCCACACCTGCCAGCGTGGGAACGGATTCAGAGCGTTTCTGAAACAGGCAGCTTACGCCGGAGCCCATACGGGCCCCTCCCAGGCTCTGGGCTGCCAGCGGGGCCCAGGCAGGGGCTGCTGGGCTCTCTAGTCCCAGAGCTCCGGCCGGACGTTCTCAGCCAAGACCCATCTCCTTTTGGAACCGCTCGGGCTGCTCCCTGCTGGAGCCTGGCGAAGACCCAGAGACGCAGCCGGCAGTGGGCGACGCTGGCTGCTAAGGCTGCCGAGAGGTGGCGGCCTAGAGGGGATTTGCTAGACGTTCCCTTCCAGGGCACTTTACTCTGCCCGACTCCCTGCTTGGGAGCCCCCCCCTGCCGAGTCTCCAGAGCTCCAGGTGCTGGGGGAACTGGAAGAGGAGGAGCCTGGCCTTCTTCGCGCACGAGACGAGGCGTCGCTGCAAGCAAGGGACACGCCGCCAGTCACGAGGCCCCTGGGGCACCGGGCAGGAGAGCCCGGCGCGCAAAAGCGGCCAGACGGGTCACATACGTGGCCCACTGGTGGGCCGGACACCCCCCCCCCCCCAAGCAATGGGATTGGCACATGGGAAACCGGCCAGCTCCTGTGGTGCTCCGGACTGCTGCCTGGCAAACTCTGCCAGCCTAAGGCACTGGCTGCCCCAGCGACAGGACGTACCCGGGGACCCTGCTGGAACCGGACAGCCGCGAGGGACCAGGCTGCCGCTCCGGCGGGGAAGGGTCGCCCGCAGCAATCCCAGCCGCGTGGGGACCCCGAAGCAAACGGGAGCCAGCGGCTGCAGCCTGGGCAAGGGGACCCAGCGAGGGGGCTACGAAGCAGGGCCCACGGGGGAAGGGGGCACTTACATGGGGGAAGGTGAATTTCCGGAGGGCAGCGTCGTAGCCCTTTCCGTGCATCTTCTCCATCAGCGGGCGGATCACCAGCTGGGCATCCAAGCCTGAAAGACGAGAGGCGCAGGTGGCCGACCTGGGCTGAGCCAAGGCCCGGAGCAAGCCGAGCCCCCCGGCGTCCCCCGCCCGTACCTCCGGAGATGAGCGCGGTGGCGCTGTGGGCCACGGCCCGCACGTCGTGGGTGTGATGCTGGAACGGCTTCGTCCGCACCCACCGCCTCTCCGCACTGCCCCACTTCACCGGCAGCAGCTGGAACTGGGACACGGCCCCCTCCGAGGTGCCCACCACGATGCTGTCTTCCTCCTGGGGAGGCAGCCAAAGGGCCAGGGCTCCCCCCGCCTGCAGCGCTGGGCGGGGGTGGGGATCCAAACCCCCATCTGAATGGGAACGGGCAGAGCCCCCCCGGCTCCTTCCATCCTGGGCAGGAGATGTGCACTTTCCCAGCCACTGTCAGCCAGGGCGGCATCGGCACAAGCAGCCTTACCCCAGTGGGCCAGCCCCTGGCCAAGCCACTCTGGGTCAGCAAGCCGCAGAGGATGCCTGCAGGTACGAGGTGAGATCCCACACCAGTGGCCAGAGCCCACTCAGCGACCCCCCTCTGCCCAGCCTCCGCATGGGACCGCCCGGCCCCTCCTACCTCGGACACCGCGAGGGACAGGGCGGCCGAGCTGCTGATCGGGTGGGTCTCTAGCAGGGTCCCTTTGTCCGAGTCCCAGAACTGCACCTTCCCCGCCGAATCGGAGCTGACGATGGAGCCGTCGGCCAGGAACGCCACGCCCCACACCACGCACTCCTGGCTGCGGGGCCCCTGCAGGCGCCGGTCCACCAGGATCCGCTGGACAGCATGGCCTGCGAAACAGGCACGCCCAGATAGCTGGGGGAGAGAAGGGACGGGGCCGGGGAGCCAAGGGCGTAGGGTGGGGGCAGAGTGCGTGAGCCAGCATGGCAAACGTGCCTCGCCTTGAGGCTCTCCCCTCCATGGTGATTCGCACAGAAGCACCATGGATAAGCAACCTCCCCTGGCCTGGAGCCGCAGGGCTCAGCTGGACCCTTTGGGGGAGCAGGAGCACGTTGCCCGGGGCGGCCCAGCGGCACTCAGGGGTCCCGCGGCAGTCCGGCCGGGCCCTGCGGCACTCAGGGGTCCCGCTGCAGTCCTGCGAGTCACCTGATTTGACGTCGAACACTCGGAGGAGGTCGATGGAGCCGATGGCAATGCGGGTCCCAGAGGGATGCCAGGAGAGGGACAGGACGCGGCCTGGAAATTGCACAGCCTTACGTGAGCCAACACAGGCCAATGCCCCTTCGCAACCCTGCGATGTCTGTGAGCTCCCCCACACACCCCCTTCTCTTCTGAACTTTGATTTGTCCCTTTCATGCGTGTTCAGTTTTTTGATTGTATCCTTTGGTTTACATGGTCATGCCAATTTTCTTCCACAATTTGATCTGAGGAAGAGGGTCTGGCCCACGAAAGCTCATCACATACTAAACCATCTTGTTGGTCTTTAAAGTGCTGCATAGTCCTGTCTTTTGTTTCAGCTACCCCAGACTAACACGGCTGCATCTCTCTCACTATTCCCAACAGGGGTGAGCCTGCAAAGCTGGGACAAGCTAAGCTAGAGGACAGCTCAGACCAAGGTCAGCTGGAACCATGGGGGACCGACACATTTCTCCCCGTCAACCCACCCACACCCTGGACTCCTGCATGACCGCTCGGTCTCTCCTCATTGGTTGGCCCACAGGCCCCGGCCACCTGACAGGCAAAGAGGGCAGGCTGGAACTCCGCTGCACAGAGTGGGGCTGCTGGAGGTCCCACCTGGGGCAGATTCAACTCATCCGAGGCATGGCTCCAGAATGGAGAAACACGAGTCCTCTGGCTGAGTCACCGTGGGCGGGCAGCGGGAACCACGGAGGACCAGGCGGGGGGCATTTAAAGGGCGCAGGATGCAGACTCTGTGGCCTCCCCTGCATCACACCCCCCTCCCTCTGGCAAAGCTTCTCCCTCCGCCTCTGCTCCGTCCCCAACAAATCTACCTTTGTGCCGGTCCAGGCTCCTCTCAAACTGGATTTTATCAGGCAAGACTTGGAAAAGCTTCACCGACCCGTCCTCGCAGCCGACCTACGGAGGGCAGGCGCGTGGGGAGCAAACACGAGAGAGAGATTATTAAAGGCCTAATCGGGCCCATGCCCATCTGTCTGCTGCCAAGAACCGGCAGGGAGGGGCTGCCCAGATGCCCGAACTTGGGCTCCCTCCCCACACAGTACAGCGCTTGGCACAGCTCCACGCTGCCAGCCCGGCCTGCCCAGCTGGCTGACCCGGAGTCTCACACCACATACAGAGCTCCTCCACCTCCCCAAGGGGAAGAGCCAGGACAGGAGACTTTCCCATCTCTCTGCTCGTCGGGGCAGCCCGGACTCGCACAGAGAATCAACTGGCCCAGCCCTGAGAAGAGGGGCAGGATCCGCAATAGAAGGCATCTGTTGGGGGCAGGAGTGGGGCCTCCTGAGCACCCCTCACTGCCACTCAACTAGGATGCCACCCGCCCGGCTCTCTATGCCCCCAGATGCTCACAACCCACCAGCTGCCAGTGTGTGTCATGGGGACACAGCCCTTCCCCCACACTGGGATCCGGGATAGTGAGGAGCTCTGCACACCCCCTGCCTGACAGGGGACAAAGTCCTCGCCCCCCCCATCAATGCCTGTGCTCTTCCCTTCCTCTAATCTCAGCACTGCAGAGCGGGGAGAGGACTCACGGCCAGCTGGGTGCCACTGGGGTCAGCCGCCATGCTCCAGATAGGGCCCCCAAAGCCGTCCAGGGAATACTTGACTCGCAGCTTCTCCAGGTCGTACTCGCAGATGTCTCCGCTCAGGCCTGCTCCGAAGAGCCGATCCCCCGCGGCCCAGCACAGCGCCTCGGTGGATCTCGTCTCATGGCCGGGGATATGCTGTGCAGACACACGATGAATGGATGAACCACCCCGTCCCGCCTCCCATGGAGCCCTCCACCCCAGGCTCAGACAGCTCAGGACTGAGCACCACAGAAGGGCAAAGACTCACGGCGTGCCTCCTACACCCCAGTGCTCAATGGGGGGCCAGGGTGAGACGGATCCCCACAGTGCCCCTCCACTACTCCTTATACGGAACTAGTCACTCGCCTGCAGCCAGTTCAGATGTACCCGTCCCTACTGGGCTGCCTGCCGGGATGGGCCATGGGCTTCTCCACTGGCCCTTAACATATGCCAAGCCACTGGGCCCTGGGCGAGTACATGCGGGTGGGTCAGCCCCAGAACCCTGGCCTGAGCAGCTTCCAGGCCCCCTCTTGGGCATGCTGCTCACCCCTCCGTGACCCCCGGGTTGGGGGGATCGGGAATGTTCGGATGCTAGGCCCGCATGATGTCTCACCCACTGGAGGGAGTGGCTTGGCTAGGGGAGAACTCCCACCCCATAGCATGGGATGGGCTAAGGCACACCAATGGCGCTGCCGGAGTGACAGCTGTCTGTGCGCCCTGGGAGCCCAGACTAGGCCTAGGGGCCAGGCAGGCGAGAAACCCAGCGCTGCTGGGGGTCTGGGGCGGGGGGCAGGACTTTCTCCAGGAGCCACACACCAACAGGCGCTAAGGCTCAGCTCTGCCCATGGCACACAGCGCTGGGGCTGCCCCTCAGCTGCCCATGGATTTACCGGCGGCTACAGGCTGCCCCTAGCCAGGGCCCCAGCGCGGCCCGTTACCTTTTCCTGGAAGTAGTTCGCTGCAAAGTTGTAGACCTCGAGGGCGCCGTCGGTCCGGGCCAGGGCCAGGCGGGCGGAGCGGGGGCAGGGAGCCACACAGCAGATCCCCACCGGCAGGTAGGCGAAGAACCGCGCCCGGTGCCCCTGGAACTCCC